TGACAGGGTTTGAACATGCTAATATGACACATCCCCGCTTTCAGCTCGTTGTTTGGATCGAAAACTTTCGGTTGCCATAACTGTTGCCTGTAATCGGTTACGAAAAAGCGAAACAAAATGTTAAATAACCTTGGAAAGTTAGGAAACTTTGAATACAATGAAATTCTGATATCGTCACATTTTGGAATCCAACTAGTGGAGCTTACTGTAATAGCAAAAGCAAACGATTATTTTAAAGGCTATAAAAAAATTTTACTCCTGTGTATATATTCATCGAATTCCGCACAATTAAGACCAGGTTTATATGCGTCCGAATGTCCTATTTTCCATGGTCGGGATTCACTATGAGTTATAGCTGATAAGGGCTAGCGTGGAGTCAGAACCCGGTCCTACCTATTCGAAATTTATGTATGAATAAAAAAATGCAGTCAAATTATCTTTTATTTTGTAAGCAACCATGTCATGCCGCTTTACCAAGGAAAAATTCCTGCACTCCTTCAGAATCTAATTCCATGCATCAAGCATTCTGGCGATGACCACAACAAAGTCAATCTTGACATGAAAACGTGACAACGATCGAAATATGACACCACATATCAGGACTAAATGGCATAGAGTAAATTCTCATGGTCTCCATGATAACTCATAAACGGCAAGAATACAGAATAAGCACGAATTTAACCTTCCACTGGTCCGAATATACAAATTTGGACAATGGTTTTACTCCGGATTTCCAAGATGTTAGTCATCCAACAGAGTTATTTCCCGATATGACTTAGTTGAATTTACTTAAATGAACCTTGAGGCACACCACAAGTGCCTTGCCAAAATCGATCATGAGTACATATCCAGTATTACCATGAGTTTTCCATGTTGATCATGACTCATCATCCTTTGTTCAGAGCATAAACGATATGCATGGAGATCTTTCAGCTGACTGGACCTCTTAGCTGACGAATAAATTGCGTTGTAGTTCTCTTCATTTCTACTTAAAATATCCTCTTGCACAGGAGAACGCTTTACGCATGAGTAGAACCTTTATCCCATGTTGGCCATAACTCGTTTATTGATCGTTCTGAGTTTTACGATAGGATTTCACAAATACCGTAAAGGCGCAGAAATCGGTACTTAATTGTGCTTAACCTTGTCATGAGGTACTATATCACAGTTGCTACCTGTTCTCCACCACTATGATGACGAGGCTATGCGATATGCAGCATAAGCATTGAAACAGCTTGTTTACTATGCAGTGGTACCGAAGAAAATGAGCCGCTGGAATTTCTATATTATTATGGTACGTTTGTATTTATTTGGAAGAAATGTAACTTGATCAATAATTTTCAGATGGAAGAATTGAAAGGGCACGTCTTCAATTTGTTCCCAAAATATAAAAATGATGAAACGCCAAGGGGATTAAATTTTGTTTGATTGTCTGTAATTTTGGGCAGTGTTGTCAATTAAATAAGCCATATTAACAGTTATCCATTGTATCAATTTAACTTTGTCTTGCTCTCTATATTGTATGATTGCACTCATGCGGTGCATCATGCAAAACAGTATGGAACGCACAGATGAGATTCTTTGAATTAGGAATAAGCGATTGATTCGCCTGTCCTTTCTACCACCATCAAGTATATAAATCTATTCCCAGTTATATATTATGTAATGCAAGTGAATTTATTTCTCATTTTAAATAATACGGCTGCACCAATACATTGTATTTAGCCATATGATGTACAAATAAGCTTCATCTTTGATTTATAACGTATTGTGTCATGTACCGGGATCAAACCGATCTCTGAGTAGGTAATATAGCAGACAGCGGTATT